CAAGTGGATTGAAGCGGCCAAGAAAGAGATGGCCACCATGCATGAACAGGTTGTTTGGAACGAGCTGCAGGAGTCGAACATCAGGTCGGAGCTGGGATTGAAAGAAAAAGATCCTTTACCTCCAATCCTTCCTATGAGGTTGGTGATGGCGAAGAAGCCAGATCTTGATGCTGAGGCTGAGTCTAAGGGCGGAGCTACGCTTGAAGCTGAGGCTGCAGAGGCTGCGTTCAAGGCCCGAGTACGACTTGTAGCATGCGGAAATTTTCAACCCAATGGCGAGATCGATGAGGATGAGATTGCGTGTGAAAACCTGAATCCGGAAGCCCTGCGACTGATCTATGGAAGGCTGGCTTCGGAGCCGGACTGGGAGGGTCTGACTCTGGACATTTCAGCTGCATTTCTTAATAGCCTACTGCCAAAGCACGAGCGCATACTGCTTCGACCACCTGCAGTACTTGTGAAGCTGGGATTGGTTCCGCCGGGAGTGCTGTTCTATGCCAACAAATCCATCTATGGTCTGAGGAGAGGGCCGAAGGATTGGCAGACAGAGCGGACCGAGAAGCTTCATATGGCAGTGGCACCAGCGGGCGATGCATGCAAATATGGCGATCTTAAACTTGAGGAACTTGAGGAGTGCAAAGGGGTTTTTGTCATTAAGGATACTGCTTCACAGAAGGTGGTGGGAATTTTGGCAATGTTCGTCGATGATGCTTTCATCTTTGGACCCCGAGAGATTACCTTAAGAATCAAGCAGTTGATCACGCAGACTTGGAAATGCCAGGTGCAGGGATTCTTGACACGCAGTGCAGATGCAGAGATCAAGGATGGCGATGAGGTCATCAAGAAAGTCGATGAGATCACATTCTTGGGAACACAGGTGTCTCTTCATGAAGATGGGGTTCATGTTTCCCAACGGAAGTGGCTGGTGAGAGAACTGCATCGGAGAGGATTCGTTCATCTTCGAGGCAGTGAATCCTTGCCAAATGTGGACATGACGCAGATTCCTTTGATGCCGAAGGACGCTCCAGGTTTCGCGAACTTCTTGAAGAAGGCCCAGGGAGAAATCGGAAGCTTGCAGTGGCTGGGACTTAAGACCAGGCCGGACATTCAGGCTTGTGTTGGAATTCTTGCTTCGCTGCAGACTTGGAATCCTGAATGGGTGGTTAACGCTTCAAAGGGAGTTTGGCGATACTTGAGGGCGACGGTGTGGTCGGAAATGATTCACCACGAAGGAGGCTCCTTGGACATCTATGCCGAATCAGATGCTAGTCTTGCTCCGTCGGGTTCCCGATCTAGGACTGGGGTGGTTATTAGTGTAGGTCAGAACATCGTCTTCTGGAAATCATGTCGGCAGAATCTTACGGCGTATTCGACTTGTGAAGCCGAAACCGATGCATGCGCGACTACGCTCTACGAAGCCGGCAGAATCGCGGGGATGATCGAAGCGATAACCGGATACAAACCCAAGTTAGTCCTGGTTGGAGATAATGCGGCAGCCGTGACGGCCATTACCAAGCCGGACTTTAACCCACTCACCTGGAGAACGAGGCATTTCGCTATGAGGTGTGCGTGGGTGCGGGACATGGTGCATCGCGGCTACAAGGACGCAAGCATTTCGGACATCACGTGTGAGTGGAAGTCTGGAGCGGAGCTTACAGCAGATGCTCTCACGAAGATATTGCCCAAGCAACGGCTTGAGAAACTTCGAGGACGGCTCGGAGTACATGTGCGCCGACTAGGGCGATGAGCTTTTGATCATGCGGCACGGGGGACAAAGCTGTAGGTGTAGGTGAAGGGCACTGGCCCGAAACAAGAACGAAGTCAAGACCTCGTAAAAAGAAAGCGAAGAGGCTACGGGGCAGCCATGTAAAGGGCTAGTGCAAGCAGTTTCACGACACGTTCGCATGCATGTTTTTGCAGTTGACATATGCTTGTCTCAAAGATGCCAAGCATGTCGGAGAAGCCATTTACACGACGAAACCGCGATTGGCTCAAGTACGAGAAAAGGCCGTGGGCCGAGTGAGGGGTTTTTGGTTCGTTGAGGGTTTGTTCAGGGTGTCCCGTCGGTTCAGGTGCGCAGCTTGTGCAGTGCTCTTGTACACACCTTCGGTAAACCCCAAAAAACCCTTAAAAAGCCTAAGCGCGTGCGGACTACTGCAGTCGAGCAAGACCACGACATTGCAGAGTTCCTTCAGTGCGACGGACTAAGATCACGACATTGCAGAGTTACTTCAGTGCACGGGAGCACTGGCAGAGATTTTGGTTGTAGTGATTTTTAGACCGTTTGGTTACCCTAGTTTTTTCCCGATCCCGGTTTAGGAGGTCCTTATCGTACCCTAAAAGGCTCAAACGTCAAGTCGGTGACAGTGGTCACGACTCAGAGCTCAGGGACTTCAGATTCCGATGGAGCTATCACCAGTTCCTACGCATTATTCTGTAGTCACCGATGGGAGCCATCATGGAAGCCCATATCAACAACAAAATGCAACAGGTTGAGGAGCTCAGGCGAAGGACGGATGAGGGGAAGGATCGCATCAGACAAGCGAAAATCGCGATGCAGCGCACATGGTGGGATCATTTGGTTGAGCATGTTGGCTCGTCAGCGCCAGCAGCGGGCCACATGGCAGTATCCACGGCGCCATTCTTTCAGGACGTGCCCGATCGTGCATTGTCAGGCCTACTCCCATCGGAAGATGTGGACTCCAAGGCTTTGTGGAAAGCTCTTGAAGAAGGTATGCCAAACCTCAACCGGCGAAGGAGGAAGGCACTTCATCGAGCATCCAATTGGGTTGTTCACTTGTTTGCGGGCCCTGGCGCGCACAAGGCTTTCAAACGGTTGGAGTCGCAGGATACAGTCGTCGTTGAGCTTGACATTTGCCGCTCAAGGTGCCAAGATCTTTACCATGATCCGCTTTGGACGCTTCTTGCTAAGGTTGCAAAGTTGGGACGAGTTGCGGCGGTCATTGGAGGCTGGAGGTCCACCAACCCGCACGTGGTCCATGTCAGGGCACCGCGCCGATGGACCACATCCACTCCGCTCGCCCACTGAACCGTTTGGCCTGAACACTCTCACCTCTGACGAGCGTGATCTCGTTGATCGTGATACAGGTTTGTATGCTCGTATGTTGTGGTTGCATGCACTTTCCACCGCCGGGAGGCGTGTGCACCCAAACCCATCGGATGGAACATCCATGGTGGCATTCATGTTGGAGCAACCGTCGGTTGAACACCAAATGGCTTCAAGCCATTCTGCTGTGGGTAGCGCCCCGTCGTTTTGGAATACCGCGCTGTGGCAAGCTTACGCTGAAGAGGCTGGTTTGTTTGAGGTGCATTTCCGTCAAGGTCCGTTGGGGCACACGGGCGATAAACCCACAACTGTTGGCACAAACTTGCCCGACCTTAGAGACTTGCAAGCGTTGCAGGGTGAGGTGTCACAGGTTTGTTGTAGCGCCGACAACCGTGTGTCTCTGTGCAAGCCATCGTGTACGCACTCCAACGTTGGCCATGTTACCGCCTCATGAAATTCACCCAAGCGGATTGGGAACAGCATGTTGCGAACAATCACGTGCCGTACCGCCGTGATTGTGCAGTTTGCGTGCACGGTGCCGGAAACGGCCCCCGCCGCCATAGTTCACCCGGATGTGTATTGCATATCAGCCGACATTGCGGGGCCCATCCGTGTGAAGGGCAAGGACCCAGAAAGTAAAGCCGCAACCACCGACCAGCAACGTTCAAGTACTTCCTCGCTGTGTCGTACCGCTTTCCCCGGCTCAAAGGAGTGAAGGAGGAGTCAGACCCTACCCAAGCCGATGGGTTTGATGATGCAGCACTCCTCCCGGGAGGGACGGATGACCTTGCAGATGAGGCCTTTCCAGCAGCAGAAGGCCCCCCACGCGAGGATTACGAGGACTCCCTGTGCGAGCCAAGTTTAGCGGAAGAAGAGGAGGAGGCGGAAGGTGAAGGAGTTGAAGGGCCTAGGGAGTTTGCAGCCAAGTTGCCGAGGAGCACCCCTGGGAGTCAGCCAGGTGTGAACTCGAAACACCGCCTGACATGGCGAGGCTGGTGTTTGCAGTGCCACTTCACACAAACAAGGGTGATGATATCCTAAATGCTCTCCAACAGGTGTACATTTCCCTAAGGTCCCTAAACCTCCCCGTGCTTCGTTTCCACACAGACCGCAGTCGTGAGTTCTTCAACAAAAGGACTCGAGCTTGGTTTCACGAGCGTGGAGTCCGCACAACAACAACAGAAGGGGACGTTCCGCAGCAGAACGGCTCTGCTGAGAACACCGTGCGCTGGCTCAAAGCACGAGCACGAACCCTTCTCACCTCTGGCGAGGTCGACTCGTCCTTGTGGCCTTGTGCAATCATGACAGCTGCGGCTCAGCAACGGGCGCAGCAGCTGGGCATGAAGTCCAAGCTTGCCATCCATTTTGGAGGGAAGTGTTCCGTGAAGCGAAAGTTTTTTAGCAAGAAGGGTGATTTGGAGCATAGATGGGTTGAAGGTAAGTATATGGGGTTGTCACCATCTGTGAATGATGGTCACATCGTGTTGCGCAGCGATGGTGTTGGCAACGGCTTTGTGCAAACACTCCATGTTCGCACCCGCCTTGTTTCTCCGGATCCACCGCCCTTGCACTTTGTAGGAGACTCGCTTGAGGAGGAGCACACCCCACCTCCACGCAGGGTTCGCGGCAAGCGGTCTGCTGGTGTGAGACTTGACGACGTCTTTGCACTTGACCCGCCGCCTCCCTTGCCGCCGCCAGCAGAAGCTCCACACCCGGAAGGTGCTGTGTCACCGGTTGATGAGGAGTCTGCCCGTGTAGCGCGCTTGAGTCTGCAAGACCTAGAAGGTTTAGCTACGGAGCTTATCGAGGACGACTGGGACCTTGATGAAGCGTTGTGGGTGTTAGCCGAAGTGTGCAGAGCAGCGCCCCAGCTGCAACACAAAGCTGGTTAGGGGGTACCACAGATAAGCCTTGGCTGACAGAGCTTATGAATATGGTGCTTTCCGCAGTTGCACCCACAGCTGAGTACACCTCGCTTTGGTTGTCTAACTCCACTGTTCAACCCGTGCACGCCGACCACCACAACCTGCAGGGATCCACAAATGTAGTCCTCCCTTTGAAGCTCCCGCCTAACGGAGGGGATTTGTGGATAGAACTCAAGCCTGGTGACCTAGTCAGTGGCCCTGTAGAGGAGCGGGTAGACGGCAAAGGCAGGCGCTGGTTAGGGACAACTCACAAGTTAGAGCGCGGTAAGCCCTTCTTCCTAGACCCTACTCGCCGCCACGCCACCACTCCCTGGAAGGGTGAGAGAGCAGTGCTTGTCGGCTACACTGTCAACACGTTAGGCAAAGAGCTTGAGCACGAGTTTCAAAGCCTTGAAGCTTTAGGTTTTCCACTCCCAGCGTCGGTACGTTTACCGCTGACTGAGCAGCAAGACGTGAGACGTCTAGACGCGTTTGACTGCTTCGAAGAAGAGCCCCTTCAGGAGACAAAGGCACGTCACCCTGACGGGAAGACTTCTGAGTTGGCGCCTGGGACTGTGCTTAAAGGCGGAGGTTGGAAAGAAACCCAAGCCGTAGAAGCAGGTACTGTAGAGCTGGAGGTGTCGTGGAACCTGAAACACTCGCCGGACCAAAGGCGAACCCAGTCTGAGCACGCCCTGCTGGCTTGCCAACCAGACACCGAGACACAGGTTGAGGAGGAGGAGGGCTTAAGCGAAGACTCTTTGCCGGAGCAACCAGTGCTTGAGTTGTGGGTTCCAGACCCGCAGACAGGTGAGCAGCTGTGCGTTCTCAGGTCTGACGACTAAGACGCGAGTGAAGCTTGTGCCCTTTGCAAGTCTGAGCCGGTTTACACTACCAACGTGGAGCTGTTGCTTGACGGGTTGCAAGAACCACTGCAGGTAGTCCACACAGTAGACCCTCGGGATGCAGAGCAATGCATCGAGAAGTGGATGCCGTCCATTCACAAAGAGATCGGTGTCATTGAGAAGGCTGTGCAGCGACTGCCTCCTGCAGAGGTTCGTTCGGGAGGTTGGCTAAGGCGTAAGGAAGTGAAGGTGGTTCCGTCTAAGTTTGTGTTCACAGTCAAGCCACCAGACCCTTCTGAGGGTGACGCTGCCCTCGCTACCCGGAAGGGTCAAGCTTACCACAAACGCAAGGCTCGCTTGGTCGCTTGTGGCAACCACGCCCCCGGCACAGGGTCTGAAGTCTACGCCTCAGGTGCTGCTGCAGAGACACTCCGTTGTTTTGTAATCATCAGCTCCAAGAGGAATTGGTGCATCGGGTCTCTAGATGTCACCTCAGCTTTTCTGTTGACCCCAATCCCGCAAGGCAGAGGTTTTCCAGTGTTTGCTCTCACGCCGCCTAGGTTGTTAGTGAGACTAGGTTTGGCAGAGGAAGGGGAGCTTTGGATCCTCACGCACGCTGTGTACGGGTTGAGGGAGTCGCCTAAGCTTTGGTCGGACTTCAGAGACTGCCAACTTCGGGCGCTGAGGTGTGTTGTTGACGGAGTTGAACTGCAGCTCCAGCAAGGAAGGTTGGACCCAAACTGGTGGCGTGTTGTTCGCACCTCTGACGGGGTAGTCGTAGGAGGGTTGCTCACTTACGTTGACGACTTTTTGCTTGCAGGCAGTAAAGAGGTGATCGAAGCCTTGGCTACGGCCATCCAGGGCATCTGGAAAACGACGCCTCTCGCACTTGCCACCGCAGAGCACCCGCTGAGGTTTTTAGGGGTTGAAATCCTAGTGCAAGGTTCTGGGTTTGTGTTGTCCCAGCGCCGAAGAGCTGCTGCGTCAAAACAACGCGAAGCCCACTGCACTAGGTAAGGTCCCCTGTCCACGAGACCTTGTCTCGTTTGACACTCTCCTAACGGACGAGTCCCCAACCGAGGAGACCGTTCGAGCAGCGCAGAGACTGACTGGAGAAATCCTGTGGCTGAGCCAGCGCACCCGGCCTGACTTAGCTTTCACTGCTTGTGTGCTCGCCTCTCTCAGCACGAAGGCGCCGCAGCGAGCCATCCGCATTGCAGAAAAGGCCCTTGCGTATGTGCAGCGTACCAAGGCGCTATCCCTCACCGCTGACGCGGATGACACCGGCTTGATCGCGTACAGTGATGCCAGCTATGCACCAGAAGGGAATCGGTCTCACACGGGGTGGGTGGTTTTCCTTCACGGGTCGCCGGTGTGTTGGCGTTCAGCACGACAGTCTTTTGTCACTCTCAGCACCGCAGAAGCCGAGCTTGTTGCTGGACTCGACGCGGTAGTTGCCCTTCAGTCAGCAGAGGCCGTGCTGAGTGAGTTCGGGGTGTCTAGCTTCGACAAGACTTTGAGGGTTGACTCACAGTCTGCACTGGCCATCGCTATCGGCCAAGGGTCTTGGCGAACCCGCCACCTAAGGGTGCGCGCCAACTACCTTCGAGAGCAGTACGAGTCTGGTGAGATCATCCCTGTCTACTGCCCAGGAGTTGAGCAGGCCGCAGATCTTCTGACGAAAGCACTGCCATCTGCGAGGATCCTTGAGCTCGCAGTCATCTGGGGTTTGCTTGAGCATGGCGTACCTCGCCGGGCGGAAGCTCAGGCCTACAGTGAAACTCAAGCTGTGGGCACTGGGACCGTGGCGCAGCAAGACCTGCAGCTGAGTGCCTTCGCTGTCCTGCTCGCCTTCTTTCAGGTCGTAGGTGCTGCCAGCCAGACAACGGACGAGGAAGAAGACTTGTCTCTCCCCGTGTCGCTTGATGCAGATTTGATGTTGGCAATATCCATCATCTGCATTGGTATCTGCTTCATTGCAGTGTGGGAGTTCTTCAAGTGGTGCCTTCAAGGCGTCATCTCCCGCTGAGAGGCAGGGACACCCGTGTTGTCTCTGAGCCCCCGCAAGGCGCGCAAGTTACAGCGCCTTCGAGATCAAACTGCGCAGGCCATCCAGGCCAAGATCTCTGCACGTGAGGAGGCAGCAAGCTCACAGTCTGTTGCTGCAGCGCCCAGACGCCCCCTCACAAACAACTCGCACGCGTGAGCAGGCAGGTGGAGCACCAACGGGTTACTTTGCAACACCCGAAGGGACCAAGCTCCACCGCACTGAGACCTGTTCCACGCTCGCCCACTCGCACAGGTTTGTTGAGTTTCAAGTGTGCCAGCAGTGCCACGGCAGCGCTGCAGACCACACCCAGCACAGCACAGGGTAGGAACTACTCCACCCTAACGGGTTGGATCTCTCAGTGAGCTCATCCGTAGCTGTGTCTTTTTCCCACACGAGGTGCCTTGAGAGCCCTCGCATAGTGAGGGCAGTTGGCCCAGCTTTTGCCAGGTAGTTCAGGGTAGGTGTGTCGTCACCCTGACGGGTTGGACCTGCAGTAGCAACTAGGTCGCAACTCCCTGGCGGGGCCGCGAAGGAGGAGTGCTGAAGTGCATGCCACCTTTGCAGCTGAAGCCAGTTGTGCATGTTCATTTTTCCGTCGCTCTTTAGGCTATGCACAGTTTGAGCCTTGAGCACGCTTTTAAACAAAACACATGTACCATAGTTGTAGGTGCCACGCCCAACGTAGCACTAACTTCAGTCTCTTGCTTGCGTGTAATTTCAAATAACTCCGCCTTCGTGTGAGCCATGTCTGGGAGTTCTGGTGCAGGGGAATTGATCACTCCATTGGTATCTTATTCCCAGCCTGCTGGTTCACACCAGCAGCAACACTAACCACAGCCACAACCACAACGACAGCAACAACAGCAAGGTAGTGTAAGATTTCCTGACGGGAACCAAGAAAATTACACCAAATCCGTCCAAGATGCAAGCAAAATAGTGTTTCCTTTGGGAAAAGCCAAGCAAAAGAAGCAAAGTCCAAAATGAGTCCAAAACGTACTGCAAACGGTTTGTTCCCTTGGACAAAGGTTACGTACTCTTCGCTCGACGTATTGTAGGTTTTTCTGAAGAAAACCAAAGACAATCACACGAAGGCCCTCCACGATGGTAAAAAAGGCGTTGTCCCGAGGATAACCTAAGATAATGTACGTTTTACGCGGGTTGACGTCGGTTTTCCCGCGGAAATCCAAGGAGAATCGCACCAAATCCGTCCAACATGTCCAACATGTAAGACAAACAGTGTTTTCCTTAAGGAAAAATCAAGGAAAAGAATATGTTTTATTAAGACAAACCAAGGAAAATCACACTGAATTCGTCCAAAATGCAAGGAAAATAGTGTTTTCTTTAGGTTTGCACCAAAAAAGAAAGAGGGCCCCCCCAAAAAAAGGCCCAAAAAAGCTCCACCCCGCATGAACTGGTGTACCTGCATTACCATGTTACGGTTACACGAAAAGATGCTGTCGAGGTTTTGCTTGAAACCGAATCCGAACCTGCCACTGGACATTTAGCGCGAAAAAGTAGCCAAATAACCAAATTCACTGCTGAAACGGTTTTGTTTTGAGCTTGTAACGTAGACCTGCGCGTGTTCTGACTCGGACCCCATACCCACGGGGCTCATGCATTTTCCGATTGAGCACGGAACGTTTGCCGACTCAACCTTGTCCACATGTGGTTGGGGCTTGTGTGTGTTCAGTTCGAACCTTACCCGTTGTGGTTCCGCTTTGAAGGATCGGGCTATTCTGGAAGAGAGTGAGAAGATGTCCAAGGCTCGTGCTGTGCATGCGGTCGCCCGGCGAAGTGACACTCGTGGCATGGCATGGCCTGACATCTTCGTGAACACAAGGCGGAACGGGCGGCCAAGTTGAAGGAAGTGCAGCAAGAGATCCAGGAGCACCATGGAGCACCGTGGAGCACTACTACGGGTGGTAAGTTGTAGGACAACAGGGGAGCCATTCTTGTTTCGAAGGAGGCGAAGAAGCAGCAGCAGGAGCTTGAGAAGAAGCAGAAAAAGCGGAAGATCCCAGTAGCAGTGGCAGTGGCACATCTGCCCGCCGGATCTGCACACCTTCGAATTGACTTTGAACTTTGAGGCTGGCGGAAGCACTGGAGCTCATCAAGGCCGGGAGAGGTCTCTGTTACAGGTGCCCGGATTGGCCGCCTGGCCTCGTGCGGAGGCCGGTGCGGTCCAAGTCGAGAAGGTGGAGCAGCTCCTGGATGATGCCGACTGGCGTGCCCACTGTGAGGCCCAGAGTGGGCGCCCAGTTTGCAGGAGCTTTGAGCCCCCAGAGGCCGTGTTGATTTTGTCTGTCTGTCGCCAGGGCCGCACATGCATCGGCCGCTCTGACTGCTTTCTTTGCGCAGCAGCCTTTGGAGCAGCCATCTGATCTGTGTGACGCGTCTTGCATGCCAGTGGCCTTCCTACCGCACATCTATGACGACGGCGCTGCGCTGAGCCATCAGGGTGGGGCAGTGGTGTGGGCGTGGGTGCCACTGCAAGGTGCCGCAGGACGACGAGAGAAGATCCAGGCCGGCCGGCAAGGGTGGCCGGGCACCAGGGCTCTGGCTCCGCTCGATTCTGGGGCAGGTGCTGGAGCAGGTCCTGAAGGAGACGAAGAAGGACGGCAAATCCGTGGGCTTCCTCTGGAGCCAGGGTGGCGACCAGTTCGAGATGGAGGAGGTAAGAGACGCAGATTCGCACACAACCTCCGTTGACTTCTAGTATGTGATCTCAGGTGCTGGGTTTGCAGTTTGGCTTCCCGGCGGCCGCTCGGACGCACAGACCGCCGTCGCCACAGTCGCCACAGTCGCCAGTCGCCACAGCACGCCAGGTGATGGCTGTCAACTTTGGCAAGGCCCAGGGGTGAAGACATTGCGGCATGTCACCATGTCGCGGAAGACTTTCCTCTCAGGGCCGCTTTGGCGTCTTTCGGTCGCAGCAGAGGAGAGCCGGAGAGCAGGAGCAGAAGATAGCAGAAGCAAGACTAAGAAGCGGCTTCCTGGCGAGTTTCCCGGTTCTGAGGTCCACAGGGGCATTTTTGACAAAGACTCCATATCTCAGTTCCTTACCTCGCTTGCGCGTGGAGGCACCCCGCCTGGATCTCAGAGTTGTAGAGAGCGGCTGTTGGCGGCGAAAGTGGCGGCAAACGTGGCTCGTGGCTTTTGAGGCTGGCTCCTTGGCCTGCCTGTCACTGAGCAGTGACAGTGACTGATTCCGATGCACCAATCAGGTAAGAACCATAAGGTAACTGCTTCTGCCGGACCGGCCTGACCAGACAAACGGATCCGGCCGAACGGACTGACCGGGCCGACCGGACTGACCTGACCTGACCGGGCCGACCGGACTGACCTGACCAGACAAACGGATCCGGCTGACCGGGCCGACCGAGCTGACCGAACCGGACTGACTTGACCTGACCCGGCCGACCGGATTGACCTGACCAGACAACGGATCCGGCTGAACGGACTGACCGAGCTGACCGAACCCATGATGGTTTAACGTATATTCCTGGATTGAAGGGTAAACGGGTAAACCTAATCTTTAAACCCAATTACGGGATATTGCGTTCTATGGGTGGCGATTGTACACACAGCGTGTTTGTTGATTTGATGCCCAGGAGCCGCCAGTATCACTGTATTACAGTAGATTGGAACATCAGTATATATATATATATATATATATATGTATGAGAGACGATGAGTTGCAGACATAAGATGGAGGTAAGCCGGCGAGTCGTAAGACGCGCTCACGCGACGCCCCGCCCTCCGCCCGATTCGAGGCCCGTGCGGTCGCCGCGAAGGCCGAGGCCTGGGATGGCAAGGCGCGAGAGAGCCGCGCCGAGAGCCGCGCCGAGAGCCGAGAGAGCCGAGAGCCGGGGAGAGAGGACCGGACCAGGAGGAGGAGGGGTTTTCGGTTTTCCCTGGGCCGCATCGCGGCTTCTCTTCTCTCTTCTCGCCAGGACGCTGCTCCGCCCGAGGAGGACCTGTGACGACGACGCCCCGGTAGCGCGGAGACGCCCGCGGCGACCCCCGCACTTGGCCCTTGTCAGCCCCAGTTCCCGCAAAGAGCAAAGACTGCCGCAAGGCGAGAGCGATGCAACTGCAATGCGATGCAATGCGATGCAAGTGCACATGAAAAGTCACAGCCAAGCTGTCAGTACCGCAGAGCGAGCAACTGTCCGCAGCGGTGTCTGCAGCCGAAAAAGCATTTCTTGGCCTGCAGCTGTCGGCTCGACTCCGCTGGCAGCACCAGAAGAGGCGCATTGGGATTCTACGCAGACTCCGTGCAGGAGAACTTGAGCTCCGGGTGTGACCCGCCCACCACTTCGTTCTCAGAGGAGCGGATGCTGTACCTGCAGCAAGTGCTGAACGACATCCGGAAGGACATCTCCCGTGAAGTACGGGAGTGTTCTGCGAATGTGTACTGCAGGAATCGAATCCTCCAAAGTCGTTGCGAGCTGAACACCTCTTCAAGCTGAACGAGGCGCAGAGTGAAAGGAGGGCAGCGAGATGAAACGCTTTGCCGCACCTCGCACCGCTGGCACTGCTCTACTCAGGCGGTCTTCAACTTGTCCGAGGAGGACGCGGTGGACGGGCCGCTGGCCGTGAAGCTCTTCCAGGCGCTTCTGGCCGCGCAGCTCTGCGGCTCTGCGGCTCTGCGGCTCTGCGGCTCTGCGCAGCTGCCGTTGCCCTCGTCAAGGCAGTGGAGCGGATCCACACTGCCTATAACACCGGCAAGCCGCTTCACTCAGCTACGGTTGACTGTTGCACGAGAGATTTCTGCGCTTGTCCGGCAATGCAGGTATGATAACCAGGATTCGAACTTCTTCTACGATTACTTGGCACTGCTGGGCACCATGCAGCCTGCTCCTCGTGCCTCGCGAAGAGATGCGGGCTCGCGAGCCTGGCGAGTGTCAGGAATCAGCACTTCTTCAGCCAGAAGCAGACAGAAAAGATGCTGGGATGGATCAAGGAGGCGCGGCGCCGCGGCGCGGCAGAGCTCGGGCTCGGAAGCGCCCCCCTCTCTGCTGAAGGTCGTTGATGGAAGTGGGATGTTGGAGGAGTCGACAGACTCGAAGAGCTTGGAGGATCGAGGGACGCAGGCCAGGTAGCCAGGCTCATGCGGAAATTTGGTCGCATCAGGTCGAGAACGAGAAGCTCAGAAAGAAGCTCGCAAAGTACGAGGCTGTTTGCGCTGTTTGCAAGCACGAAAGCCCTTCTTAACACGAAGCGCCGGAGTCAAATTGCTGAGGGAATGGTTCAGACCCTGAAGAGCATCGAGACGGACTCCTTTTTGCGTCCCTCCGGCTTGCGCCAGCCTCCGCCAGCTTCCGCCAGCCGCCAGCTTCCGGTGCAGGGTGAGGGCGGTGAGGGTGTGGGGGCTGCCGCAGGAGCCCAAGTCGAAGGCAAAACCTAAAAAGAAAGAGGCCGAGGTCGAGGATGGCAGCGCAGCGAAAGTCATCTCCCAGCCCCCCATTTTCTTCTCTGCTTTTTGCCAGGAGCCGAAGCCACAAGGCCAGGGCCGGGAGGGCCGGGAGGCGGTGTCACATGCTGTACTGGCCATGCAACCAGGTAAAGCCAAGGGAAAGGCCAAGGCCAAGGGCAAGAGTGCCACCCTTAATCAAGAACTGATCAGAGGCCTCAAGCTCGCAGTTAAGCTTGGAAGCTTGACTGCAGGCAAGTATGATTACGAGGAGGAAGAGGAAGAAGCACCTCGCTTGCTCGCTTGGGGAGTTTACAGCTCGGGGGCTCGGCTAGGCAGCCTTTTGGCTCTTATGTGCCGCTCAGCCGAGGAGCCTGTCCTCAAAGGCAAGGGCAAAGGCAAAGAAGGCAAAGGCAAGGGTAAGTCCAAGGCTGGCGCTGAGACTCAGAGCGGAAAAGAGGGCAAAGGGTCCAAAGAGGGAAAGGGGAAGCAGGGGAAGGGCAAGGAGAAGTCGTCGCTTCCCGTCGAGGAAAAGGGAAGCAAGGGGAATGCGAAAGGCAAAGGCCTGTGAGCTGTTGAGCTGCTGTGCTTTCATGCGCCCACAAGCCTGCTGCGCAACCTGCTGTTACCGCAGGAAAAGGAAGGGAGTCCTACGACGACTACGAGCCAGTCGTCAAAGGAAAGGCGAAGGGAAAAGCCGGAAAAGCAGGGAAAGGAAAGTCCAAGGACGACGAGCCTCCGCCCCTTCGGCGCGGAGCTAAGCTGGGGCCGCTAGCCATGGACCCAGCTGCCCGTTCGTCCACTCAGGGCCACCAAGGGCAAGGGCAAGGGAAAGGAAGAGGAACCGAAAGGAAAGGGCAAAGCAAAAGCGAAAGGCAAGGGCAAGGCACGCCCCCGCTATGTGTCCGTCATGTCCACGTCCTGCACTCGAATCTCTGAAGCTCAGGGCTACAAAGGCAAGTGAGGCTCCCTGGAGAGCCAAAGCCACAGTGTAGAGTCAGGCCAGTTAAGCCGAGTTAAGCCTCAAGCTTCCAGTCAGTACTCTCAAATTGCAGAGACTGCATTCTTTGAATCTGGCGATCTTCGCCCTCAGTCCGCCATGCCGCAGCTCGTAGCTTCAGAGAGGAGACCTAGTGCGAAGTAGCGTCATGTAGCGTAGCATAGCGTAGCATAGAGTAGCATAGAGTAGCTGCGTAGCTGCTTAGCGGCGTAGCGGCGTAGCGTATAGGATAGTCCAGTGTAGGCGTGGCGGGAGCAGTCGCTGCGAAGCGCAGCTGCGCCGCTCCGAGCGTTGCTGAGCGTTGCTCTCAGCGTGATGGGACGCTTCCGTGGAGATTTGTGGCCTACTGCCGGGCGCGAGCCGCCGGGCTGTGAGAGTACGCTCACCTGCTCTGTGAGTCGACTCTCGCCAGTAAGAAGCCTGCGCAAAGCGTATGCGCGACAAAAGCAGGTCAGTTGACTTATCGAGTGTGGTGCACCCGGCAGTCATGTGCTCTTGAACTGCCGAGCATGCCGACGCGGTGGCCCCGAAAGCTCAGTGAGGATTTAGAGAAGGCGGGTGGCTTTTTTTGGACAGACCGGACCCGCTGTGCAAATCTCGCTTAAGCGCCCGCCCTCGCTTCCTCGCCTTCGCCTCAGCACTCCGGGCTGGAAACAGTCGCTTCGCGGCTTCAGCTTCGCGGCTCCAAGGCCTTGCGTGCTGGCGGCTGGCGTCTGCTGTGCGAGAATGAAGGAGGCATCCTCTCTACACCACTCGCGCTCCTCTGACACTCTGGCTTGAACTTGCAGTTGCAGGGTGCCGAGGAGCTGAAATCCATTCACACCTGCCTCTTGCTCAGAGCGCAGCGCGATGTGGCGCCACGATATGCGCCACGCGCACGGGCGCGCACGGGTGCGCACGGGTGCACGCCGCAGGCACGGACTGCCCGTGGTGCCTTCTCTTCCTCGGCAGCTTGGGGGGTCTCGGCGTCCTCTACGGTCCGGGGCCCAAACTGCACGGCGCAGCAACAGCCTCTGCACATCTCTGCACTCTCTCGAGACTCTTACGAGACTCAGGCTATGGAGTCATGCACGGCGAGCTCGGAAAGCGGGGGGATCCCGCCGTGCTTGTGGAAGGCTGTGCTGATAGCTGCGCTCATAGCAGGCTCTACCATGGCATCGACTACCAGGGACGCATCTGCGGCTTGGAGGGCCCCGAAGGTGTGCCCGGAAAGCCCGGCGCCCAGAAACTCTAAGCCTCGAAGCGCCTTTCTGCTTTGTAATTTGTGCACGTGTGAAGTATCATGCTGTGTGATGGACCGCGGCACCAGTGCTCTAAAGGGAAAAGGCTAGCTTTGTTGTGCAATGGTACAGCTCTTTAACACTTGAACGGGTATGGGTCAGTACGTGTGCGCAGTGGTTATTACCAACTATAGGTTGTCAGCCGTATAGCCTAAGGCTTTGTCTGCAACTGGTTACAGTATAATCAGTGCACGAGCGAGTTGCCGGAACTTATCCCCGAAATGGATGGAAGTGCACAGACGCCAGTATAGCTCTCGGTCACGGGCAGCCGCGCAGGGGCCGGAGCACCTGGCTTTGTTTTCCCCGCTGCAGCCCTCTTTAGGGTTTAGGTTAGGGTTTGAAAGAGGTAGTGTCTGATGTAGCTGTCGATGACCAAGCTTGCAGTTCGGCTAGGGCTGTAGGCACGGGCTTCGATGGCTCGGACTAAAGCGGAGCTACACACCCTACCTGCAGCGCCGGGCAGCCTTTCTCGATCCTCTGCAAAGCTTCGGCGCGAATCTCCTGACAGAGGATGTAGGGCCAGAGTTCGGAGGAACTTGCATCTCCCCGTCCCCGGCTTGGAAACCCCAGAAACAGAGCACTTCTGACTCTGTGGAAAACATTAACATGAGTAGCAGATCACTCATCTTCACGCTTCACCCTCGTATGAAACTTCGGATTTCCCAGTGTTCTCTAGAGGACGGAGCCCGAGCTCCTTCCGTCGTCTAGCTGACATCATCTTCTCATCCTCCACCAAGCGCCAGGTGTGGCCCATCTTGTCAAAGAGGTCGTGCTCTCGGCCTCCTCCGCTCTTCGTCAAGGTGTTGGCCAACTGCGCCTCGCTATGCACCCATCTGATGCACACATTCGTGTTGGCCTGGGCCTCCTTCAGCGATAGGAGTTCCAGGCTTGTCCGCTTCTCCGCGCCCTTGATGACCATGACCTCTGTCTCCAACTTGTCGTAGACGTTCCGGCTGTCCGTCACCACGCACCCTCGGGTCTTACGGACTGTCTCATCAGGGGCAGACAGGTTCACCCCGCCGTACAAGATCTCGCTCCACTGGTATCGCGCAGCATGTAGGTGGTCTTCTCCATTCACGGCCGCTTGGGCCTCCGCGGCCCCTGGGGACCGGCAGGTCCTGTCAATCCGCTGCGAGTGCCAGCCCACTGGGCTGACAGGCTGCACACTGCCCTTGAGCATGTCTGACGTGCTCATTCCCAGCAGAATCCCTTGGGTGGATCCTCCATCCATCCTGTTGCCATTCGCCGCGTCGACCCACGCGATGAGCACCAACTCCTGGTCCTTATCGAAGGCGTGGATCTTCATGCGGTAGTGCTGCTTGCTCTTTGCGGCGGCCAGCAACATGTTGGCCCGGATGATCGTGTCCACGCTGCTCCTCGTAACTTCGGTTAGGAGTAATCCTACTTCTGCCGCCAGGTAAGGCGCGACCTGTTGGGCGTGCCAACTGATTCCTCCTAGGAGTGCTCGCAATTGGCTTTTCTCCTTGTCGGTTGTGGGCTGGGATTTGTCTTTCTTTCGGGAGGCGTTCACTCCTATCTCGTGCAAACTATCAAGGTAGTGCGGTTGGGAAAGCTCAAAGCCACTAGAGGTTTGCTCAACAACAACACCACACTGAGTAAACTTGTTTTGTTCCCAGTCCCCCCATTTAAACCTATCCTTGATGGCCTGAACCTTAGCCTCCCACAAAGGATCTCCATCTTTTCCGCCAAACAGGAAATCATCCACATGGCCACTGACGATTCCCCTGAGTTCCCCGTTTTCTCTCAAAACCCAGCAACAAGAGTCTGACCACAGTCTTTGAAAGCCTAAGCTCTTAAGGAATTGGTCCACTGAACGATACCACTCCAGTGGCGCGTCCACCAATCCGTAGCATGCTTTCTTGACTCGAGTTACCGAGCCCTCCGGCAGGTCTAATGCACGACAGATCTCTGGACACGGAATGCAAAACAACTCGTCTGGATACTGGCGACTCTGAAGAAAAGCTCCTGTGACATCTCCTTTCTGCACTCGCCATCGCTTCCAAGCTGAAAGTTGTAGCAGTAACTGTCTGGTTTGTCGAGTCATGACAGGGCTTGTGGTAGCACGATGTTCATAAGCTCCGTCTTGATATCCCAAAAGCACTGCTCTGGCCTTAGCCTTTCGGCTGCCGTCTTCTTTCAGCTCCATGTAAGTATCCAACGCATCCCAATGGCCTGTGAAGCATCTGGTTTCAAGTGGTCTGGAAGAGCCTCGAAAGCTTTTGAAGCCACAAAGTTTTTGACCTCCACGGCCTTGGCGCTGTTAAAAGCATCGCGTTCCTCTGGCGTCATTCTCTTTTCTGAAAGCTCGATTGCGCGTCGTTTCAAGCTACCCACGAAATAGGCTGGAAGATCCTGTAAAGCCTTCTTTATACCTCTCTGGGTTTCCGGAAAGCTAATCTCCAGTGCGACGGCGGCCGCCTTATCGTCCCAGTAGCCGGCCCTCTGTTGGGGCCACTTGTCCTCGGAGATCGTAGCCCACCAAGCCATTTGGTTTTCACCGTCTGGCTCCTGTAGGCGTGGCCTCCGGGATGAACTCGGTGCCTCGCCTTGTTCTGGGAGTAACTCGGGATCTTCCTCTCCTTGAGAGGTTGGCAGTCCTTCTGCTGGCCTCTTCTGCCGTATGCGGAAGCGGCTGGGTTGGACCTCTTCTTCGGTGTCCTGTGCTCGCCTCCACTCTCGGAGATCGGGAAGGTCTCCTGTAAGATCCTCAAAGCGATTGCCTCCGATGCTGGCTGCCACAGAATGAAATGTCCAAGGTGTAGCTTGCCCCTCCTTGGCGGCAAGTGTCTCGATCATTTCCTCGCGTTCCGAGGCTCGTCGCAGTTGCTCTGGGCTGCACTTCAAGAGACTACGACCCTTAACCAACCAAATGGCTCCTCCCGGCAAAATATCTCCTGATGGATCGCGGCGTGATTCTGTAGCCAATACTCTGGCTGGGCCCAAGAACCGACCATGCTTCCCACCCGGCTGTCTTCGTCCCTTATTGGAGTCCTGAGTCCTCCAGTAGTAGACGAGCTCGCCGGGCACGTAGTCGTAGCAAGGCCTGTGCTTCGAGTTGGTTGCCCGAGACAGGCGTTGTCGAGCCTGCCATTCCAGAAGACATTTTTCTGCCTCCAGGCGTCTCTGGACTGATCTCTCGAAGTCGCCCGCAGGATCCTCCACTAACAGCCCTGGGGGCACCTGTTGGCATCCCGATTGGAAGCGCCCGGCATTGTCCGGCGCCTGTCCCAAAACGTGCTGGGCCGGAGAGAACCCACGGATCAGATCCTTTTGGTTGAAAACCACCACTGCTTCTGCAAGAGCTTCTTGTGGCGTGATAGTATCATCCTGTAGGCTCAATTTATCAAGAAGGGTCTTAACACCTTTGATTGCGTTCTCGCAAGTGCCGATCTTCCAGTGAGCTTCGCCTGGGACTATGTCCAGAAAGATGTTGTGTCGGTCACACCACTCTTCGATGGCGGCGCTTCTGAAAGCGCCAGCTGGATCCAGTCTCAAGCATCGCGGGTGACCGAAGTACTGAACCCAACCCTCCTGGAGGTAATGAATGCAATCCTGAGCCTTTGGTGCCTGGCGGGATCCAGAGGTAAGAATCCTAGCGACCCTGTATCTAGAACCCTCGTCAATCACCAACATAAACTGCACACATTCTCCGGTGGTAGGATGGGTCCAATGGCCCACGTCCGCGCTGATTGTTGTCAATTTGGGAGGAAGGGGTTCCAAAGAAGCCAGGGCACGAGGAGGTGGCCTACTCTTCTCTTGACACACCGAACACTTGAACTCATTGGCCAGCTCTAACGTTCTAGCATCAGCACCTCGGGCCTTGAGAGCCTGAACCATGTGTCTCGGGTGACTGTGGCCCGTTGCACAATGAAGGAGGTATAACTGCTTCTTGATTCTCTCGTCTTGGTTCTTGAGGTTGGAGGCCTGTGGAACCTGTTCCGCCGGATAGGCCTCGAGGCTCGTACTACGCGGAATTGGAAACCCGAGATCCTGAAGTTCCTTCTGGTCCCTGGGACTGAGCTGCTTCCAGCCCCGTGTCACGTAGACCGTAATGACCCACCTATCGCCTTCCCAAGGACACGAACCATGTCTCGCTTTAGGTGGGAAGATCAAAGGACGTCCCTTAATGTCGAACTCAACACCAGAAATCACTTCTCCACCTGTGCCTTCCCGAACCGAAATCAGCCCTTGACGATCAAAGTCCGAAACTTCACCCTCAACCCACAGACCTCCCCCTTGAAACTCTCCGAACCCTATGCTGCCGTTGGGAAACTTCTCGTCGTTGTGGGCATCCCGGTGTGTGGGCATGCATGTCCCGTGGTTGACGGCAAACGAAGTCCATTGGAAATGCTTTGGGAGGTGATGTTTCAGGATCTTGTTAATCCAGCGGCAAAGTTCGGGGAGACTCTGAGTACGTTTGGTGGTTCCATACATGTTGCCGTGTGAGTACGCACCGAAAACATGATAATTATTTGGGATCTTGTGGTTCCTTCGGGAGTAGCCTATGTTTTGAAGGGGGTGTTCCGTCAGGACATCTCTCAGGGTGTTAAGGTCGGTGGCCTTGGGTCCTCTACTTTCTCTCCTAGCTTGTTGCTCGAGTCCCTGGGCCTCATTGGTACTCATGTATGCCTGAACCGACATGTCGCCATCGTCTTGTGTTGCACACATGCACGCACCACAAACTGAAGAACCGCGCTTCCCTTCGCAACTACACCTAGTCCCAAGTCCAAAACCCTCGGGGAGCACTGAACGACCTGAGCATTCCTTCGTGATTTCTTCAGTTTCTCCTTCAACACTCAGGGCCTCGTACACAAGCCTCAGAAACTCTTTGGGGTAGGCTCGGGACGCAAGGGTACTTCCACTGCCACTCTTCGCATGCTGATAGTTAGTCTGGCAACGACATGGTTTGTTGAGTTGCTCGGCTAGTCGAGCATGTGTGGTAACCAACCTCCATCCCTTCTGAAGCAACCTGTTGTCCCTGCCTCGCAATCCTACGGCGCATCCCTTGATCACGCAAGAATGTAACCCCATCTGAAACCTCAAGTCCTGAAGAACCGGAAGTCTCCAAGCCTCACTCTTTTCCGAAATCTCAACCGTAACATGACTGCCCAACTGAAGACATGTTTTCACCAGCTCAAGAACATTCTCAAAGATCTGGATCTCCAGGGCTCGTTTGGCTTTCAGGTCTCGACTTTGGGCCGGAGTTCTTTGGTTGAGGTTTTGGAGAGGTGAGAACGCCTTAGTCGGGGGCCGGATCCAAAGATGTTTGGGCTTGAGGGTCTTAACTTGCTCCAGTATCAATGCGAGACCTTCGTCGCGGGACAGGTCATGACCGTCCCACAGGGACGAGCTATGTGCGCATTCACTTCGGCCCGTCCTTGCTACAAACATGTCCGCAAGTGCACTCTCGTTGGTGTGGCTCACTTCAAGCAACTCAACACGATCAATCCCGACCAGATCTTCAAAGATATTCGGAACAATCCTCTTAGCACGTCTCTCCAGAACCTTAGAAGCTTGCAAACTCAACTCCTGTCCTGGTTCGGCATGTCCTGATCGCGCACCGTCACCTTGCGGGGCTTCTCGGGCTGGCCCTCCTTGAGCGACTTCACCTCTTCGGTCAGTGTCGCCACCATCTGGGCCAACTGAGCCACCGCAACATCCGTAGAGCTCGCACTCGCCGTCGTGGAAGGTTGATGTTTTGGAGTGATCGCCTTGGCCTTGGGCGTGATCTCGGGATAGCCCTCGCCCATCTTCGAAGTCTTCTTCTTGGCGATGACCAACTTCTTCTTGACCTCCGTAGTTGCCCGATTGTTCATCCACGTCACGAACCGCTGGAGGTAGATCGAGCAGCCGGTCTCGGTAGCCGTCTGCTTGGCCCACTGACAATAGTTCTCGTCGGTCTCCAAAACCTCGAGGTAGGTCTTCTGGGAGTGTTTCCCAAACCCCATGCGATCGTTGTCGTGCCCCTCGATGGTGCGGATCATGTGCGACATGCAATTCTTTTGGATGATAGCAATGGTGTCGTTGGTTCCCACCTTCATGCCGTAGGTCTCTTGCACGTAGTTCACCAGCGTTGCCTTGCGACTGCTGGCGCGGTTGAGCTCGGCCACCGCGTTCTGCAACGGAGTCTTCATCGTCTTGGAGGTCTCGATGGCCACCTCGCCTTGATCCGCTAGGTCCGACAGACGCTGACGAAGTTCTAGACGAGTCCACTCCTCGGGCGGTGTCTCTCCCAGGGCACGGAGGTGGAGAATCAGCTCCGGCTTGGTCAATTTGTCCATGGCAGCACGAAAGATTGGGAGGTCCTGCAGGACAGCTTGTTTCAGAGCCAGGATCGCTGCAATCCGGAACATGCTCATCTTGCCATCTCACAAGCTTCACAATCTCAGACTTCCTGATCGTGTCCGCCATGTCGCTCCCTCTGGTTCCCACTGGTACATCCGAAGGTTCATAATCAACGGCACCCTCACCATAACCCTCACTAACCACTTCAGTTCCCCTTGAGTGATCTGCTTGGATTATGGGAAAATTCCCCATCCCTGATCCTACTGCTGCGTCCTTCCTGTTTCCGTCAGGGTCAGAGTTCGGAAGGAGCTGTCCCTAGCCTCTCAGAAATTCGGTGAGGCTCGGAACTGGCCTCGTGGTAGCACAAGCATTTGCCATCCAGTCGTCAGTCAGCGGCAGCAACTGATGACCCGTCTTGCTACGGCCTAGGGGAATGATACGGTTCACATCAAGATGGCGAAAGGCTACCAAGTCGGCCTTGAAATCTATGATGGCTCCTAAATTCCGGAGCGCCTCCACACTCAGCAAAACTGGGCTTTGCCCATGGTCTAACGTGTGGATCCTCAGCTCGCCGGGATTTCCTCCGGCCGATACCTTCAAGGAAGCTGTGCTGAGGCATTTGTTTTCTGTCGAATTTCCAAATGAAAAAGTTGGAGGATCTGAGGTGCTCACTGCCGTCAGGCGATTGCTGCCATGCTTCTTCTTATTCATCGCCAAGATCGCCTCCACTGCTGCCACGCTGCCGACTGTTTGTGTCGCTCCGCCATCAACGACACACAGTCCTTGGCTCACTGCCTCCTGAGTAGTGAGGCCAGCACCAGCACCCATGATGCTCAATGCTGCCTCGGTGGCGCTCTCGGTCTCGGGGCCCTGGGCGAAACCATTCACGTGCTCGTAGTCCTCGGGGATCTTGTCGTGGTAGCACACGAAGGGCGCCTGCTGGGGTCCTGGGCCCCCATTGTCACCGGTGGTGTTCTCCGCCTGGGCTGCCAATGGTTTCACGGGGCAATTGGCTGCCCTGTGTCCTCGTTGTCCACATCGAAGGCAGTCTATGTTCGAATCGTCTCGTGGCTTGAAGGTAGAAGAGGTCGCAGGGCCAGGCTTGCCTTGGTAGTACTTGCGACTTTGCTTCACGGAGTGCTGTTTCTGGCGAGCTTCCTTCAATGTCCGCTTTGCTTGGTGGAGAGCTGCCATAGCCTCCCTCGCAGTCTCCTCGTAGTCCACGACCAAGGCGATGCCCTCTTCATTCATGCCGCCCTCGCTCAGCTCCTCGATGGAGAACCCGTAGGAGTAGTCCTTAGCCTCCTCGTCACCGGAGTCCTCGACGGCCTCGCCGATGTAGCTCTGGTATCGCCGTTGATCACGGCGACGAACTTCCCCTTCAGGAAATTGGTTGCGGAGCTCCTGAGCCACCTTTTGCGGCGCAAAGTCCCCGCCCAAGGCGGTGAGGACAATGTTCTTCTCGGCGTGGTCGAGGTTGGAGTCCGCGAGGAGGTACCAGCCTTGGATGAAGGAGGGGAGAAGATCCGGTAGTCCGGGGGCGGGCGAAGACGAAGTAGAAGAGGCTCCCCATGAAGAGCCCTGCCAGGGTTGTGATCCCCAGCTGCCGTATCCACCCCAGGGTGACCGTCCCCACGATGAGGCGCCCCAGGTGTTCCACCTTGTCTGCCACTGATCATCTCTGGTGTCTCCGGTCTCCGGGTTGGCGGTGGCCTCGGTGGAGGCCTCAGTCTCATTGGTGCCCGGCTCCTCGGTGGCCGGCCCCATCCACTCATAGTATCGTAGCTGCTTCGCCTGCTGTACGTGCCCACACTGGTCTGGGTGGTCGTCGTGTCCCGGTCATAGTGTGGCTGGACCCGCTTCAAAGCCTGACTCGCCCGCATATAGGCTTCCGTCTTCCTGGTGATGTATTCATTCATACTCTCATTCGCCTTGCGCTTTGTGCCCTTGAAGTACAACGCCAGGAGATCGGTCACCTCGTTGACGCGGGGCTTTCCCAGTGCCTTGCGAAGGTGGTCCATGAGCGCCTTCACGCCGCCTCTGTAGGCGACCCATCCTGCGCTCTGGCCTGCCACAAAGCGGCGAGCCGCTCCAGACAGTTCCTGAACTAGCCTCGGCCCAGCAGTGTACCGCTTCTCCCATGTCAAAGACTGCTCCCACAGGAGGGCGGCCTCCTCGTACTCCACGAAAGACCCTGCTTCCCCGCTCCAGCATGGTATTCCGTCTTTGTTACCCTTCACTGCTGTCGCGCCACTGTCAGACGCTCCACTCATCTTTCTCCAGTCCCCACTGGAGCCGCGGTCCCTGGATCCTATGAGCCCCCCTGGTTAGCGGGAGGCTCCGCTACCATGAAAGAGGTAGCGTCTGATGTAGCTGTCGATGACCAAGCTTGCAGTTCGGCTAGGGCTGTAGGCACGGGCTTCGATGGCTCGGACTAAAGCGGAGCTACACACCCTACCTGCAGCGCCGGGCAGCCTTTCTCGATCCTCTGCAAAGCTTCGGCGCGAATCTCCTGACAGAGGATGTAGGGCCAGAGTTCGGAGGAACTTGCAGGGTTTAGGGTTTAGGGTTTACGGTTTACGGTTCAGGGTTTAGGGTCTAGGGTTTATGGTTTACGGTTTAGGGTTTCAAGGTTCAGGGTTTAGGGATTAAGGTTTAGGGTTCAGGGTTTAGGGTCTATGTCTTCTTGCGCAGTGGCTGATACTCCATGCTAGGATGGCGCCACCTCACACAGGGTTTGTGGGTGGCGGCCTTTTACGCGTCAAGCGACGTTCCTTGCATGTGTCCTAGAACTCGGTGAAGCCGGAAGTTCTCCAAAGCCCGCCCGCTGTGATGATACCACAGGCAACCACCCAAACCATTTCCTGTTAAGGTTACCACTCCGCGAAAAAAAGCAGGGGCAGGCCAGAACATGGGGGGAGGGAGGCCCGCCCCCTTGGGAGGCCGGGGGCAGGGGTGAAGCCAATGTTATCCCCTGTTGTATTAACTCCTGGGGGAGTATTGGAACAGTAATGATCCCTTGGATCTAAAGGCTGTGCCCTGCACTCGGTCACACGTTGTTGTATCTGCTACGCAAAGAGAGCTATGGTGTCAAGTAAAACTACTTGAGACAGAAAGGGCAGCGGAATATTATATATATATATATATATATATATATATATATATATTACCCTCAGTGCTTCGGAATGCAACGTAGTGTAGTGCAGGGCACGCGTCTTTCTCAGTGGTGGCCTTTCCGAGATGGTTTGGCTCAAGCTCCCAGCTTGAGCCAGGATGCCGGGACCCTGGCTGAATGCCAGCTCGGATCCCGAAGCATGGGCTTCGATGCGTTGCAGACGGGGGACTACATCGAGTACTGCGCCTACGACACGTCGCATACTCGCCAGGGGACAGTCGTGGCCCGGATCGACAACGTGAGCGGGCCAGTGGACAGAGATTGCCATTTTGGCGGTCTCTGATGATCACCTTTCGTGGTGGTTGGACCATGGAGCCGGCAGGGACGAGAACTGGGAATACGAGCTCCATGTGTGCAAGGCCCAGGCAAGACAGTGCCGGCAGTCCAAAAGGGGACGGGGCCACGACTTCCACACGGACAAGTACCGCGTCCTCACCCTGGGTGACCTCGCGGACCGCAGGCGGGATTGGATCCGGAAAAGCAAATGCAAGAAGTATATAGATGAAGAGGTGGCACGCATGCAGCAGAAGCAGCTGGAGGTTTTACCTTCGAAGAAGGGAAGCTTCCGCTTCCGGATCCGTCTCAGGACGAGGAGGCCTGGAAGGGCTTTGGAGAGCTCGAGAAGGAGCTCGGGGAAACGCCCCGAAGGAGAAAGAAGAGGGCTCAGAATGACCCCCAAGGGGGAGGACATGGACCCCTCAAGAGGGAGGGGAAGGCCGAGCACCTCAAAAAGAAGAAGAAAAGAAAGAAGGATCCCGGCCAAGGCCGCGCAAGATCTCTTCCAGCTAAGGCTGAGAATAAGAAGGAGTGGTTCGGAGAGCAGCTCACGGCGAGCCCGCACGATGGCTCTCGTACCGACTCCTCGTCACAGTCCTCCTCGAGTTCCTCGGACCATGGCAAGAAGAAGAAGAAAAAGAAGAAGGCCCGAGCCATGGGGGCCAAGGACCGGGGCCCGTTTGGGTCAGGACACAGGGTGGACTATGGAAAGTCGCTGGAGATCTCCAGCGCGTCGTCCGAAGAAGGCCAGCTTTTTCGGGACGGCCCCTCCTCCGGGAATGGAACCCAGCTTCAGGAATACGCTTTGAAGAGGCCGGGAAGGCTGGCCGCTCGGCTGTTGCAAAGGATGCAAAGCCTGGTGGGGAAGGAGGGGGGGCCGATCTCGAACATGACCTACGCCAACAAGACGCGTGCCGTGGCAATGAACTTCGTGCTGACCGTGCTCGCTCCTCGACAGATGCCGTTGAGAACGCTGTGCGAGATGAAGACGCTGGCAGCAGCACTGGACCAGATCGCAGCAGGTCGGTCCCACTCCGCGGCCGATCTGCTCGCCCAGCGGCTGAACGCACTCGAGCTCAGCCAGACGGACTCGACTTGGAACGAAGGCCTCTCCATGAATGAGTGGAGGAAGAAGATGAAGACTGTCCTCGACCGTGAGCCCGGCATGAAGCCCCTGCGGAAGGTCCTGATGGAGGCGATGCTTCCTTTGAAGTCCGGCCTGGGAGCCTTCGCAAGGGAGTACAGCAACCCGGAGAAGCTGCCTTCAGGTGGCGAGCCCACACCTGGCTCCCCGGGCCGAGGCCGAAATCGGGACGTTCTTCCCATCCACCCGGAGATGATCACGGTCGGCCTGAAGGGCATCACGGAGGACAATGTGCACTGGGTAAGGGCTATCATGACGGCCCTCAACTACCTCTACTGCGCGGGTTGGGCCGCACCGGTCTGTGTCCCAATGACGAAGTCCCTCAGCCTCTGCCAGCTGAGGGCCATTGGCCGGAAAGCCGATCAGGCTGAGCGCTTCGCGAAGCTCAAGCCCAAGATAGGGTCGACCGGCTAAGGCCGCGATCGCCAGGCTCTCGGCAAAAAGGTTCGACTATAGCGGCCAGGCGGGACCTAGATGCCGGGAAGGTGATCAAGGCATGGCCTAAGCCTGGATCGGCAGCTGTAGTCGACCTCCAGGACTGCCTGCCGGACGACCTGAAGAAGGCCTTGGACCGCCCTCGGGGGCTGCCCGAAAGGCATAGAGTGAGGGTCAAAGGTCCGAGCCATTGATGAGGAGTGGTTCAAGATAGTGAAGTCCGGTTACGACCGAGGTATGTTTGTTCCAGTCTCCGACGAACGAGGTGCCCGTGGACAGGCGCGGGCACTTGATCACCAATGGGGCCGGCGCGGTCGCAAAAACGAAGGTGGTGGGCGGCCGCACCGAAGAGGCTCATTCATTTCGGTACAGTGCCCGATGAACGACGCGATGAGGCTTCTCCCTGGAGCCTAAGATTGCCTGCCCTATATCGGGCAGATGACCGCTGTCTTGGCTGAGAAGGAGAGCTACCTGGTGATCGACTCGGAGGACCTCCAGTCTGCCTTCAACCTTTTCCGGCTCCCCTTGTCGTGGGCTCCCCTCTTCAGCTTCGCCAAGAAAGCCGGCTGTGACCTTAATCCAGGCCGCGATCAGGCACATCTCCTATGGGATCGCAAGGGTTCCTCCCTACGCGGATGTGAGGAAAGACCAGCCGGTCCCGGCAGGCGACACCCACACGATCTTGTACCTTGACAATTTCGATGAGGTACGCTACCTCAAGGAGGAGATTGCTGAGAAGGAGGCGGGACAGCCTTCGGAAAACCACAGGCGGTTCATCACAGCTTGTGAGCTCCTTGGGCTTCCCCGCAACCTGGGCAAACAGCTGTGCGGAGCCTTGACTGGAACCCTCCAAGGAGGAGAACTGCTCGGAAAGGAGAAGATCCTCCGCCACAGTTATGAAAAATCTGTGGAGCTCTTCGAGCTTTCGATGGCCCTCCTCACACAAGAGCTCATGAGCGACTACAGCCTGAGGCACTGGACCGGCAAGGCAGCATTCGCGGCGGCCTTTAAGAGGCCGATCTACTCGGTCCTGCAGGAGGTTTATGGTGTGATGGATTGGGCTGCCTCCGGAGCCCAGATCTCACTGCCCATCGCGGCGATCGATGAGATTTTGGTGTTCATGGCAATGCTCCCCTTGGCGGAGACCGATCTCTCCTCCGAGATCTCGGGCACCATTAGCCGTGGCAACTCGGACGGCCACTGTGGCTGTTCCGGCTTTACCCAAGCTGTGCTTCTTGAAATGTTCGAGGGATCACGGGGACACGTCCTGCAGGAGCTGGTGGCACGTCCCGTGGTTTGGGGAAAGGTTCAGCGGAAAAGGCTTCCCCCTTCAGGACCGACGCCGGGAAGGAGCGCCTGGACGCCTACGAGGCCGGTGGCAACTTGGTCTGGACAGGGGCGAGTGATCGTCAAGGACGATGCACAGCCCCTTCGCCAACTTCGTGACTCGACCTACCCAAAGGGTACACGAACCTCAGGCGTGATGACACCGTCGCCGTGAGACAGGCCAACGCGATGGCCAGGCGGGCCATTCGAGGCCTGCTGGAGGCAGCTAGAAGGGGCCGCTTCGCCTCACTCGAGCACCCTGCGACTCCTACCTTTGGAAGCTGCCGGAAGCAAAAGCTCTCTACGGAGAAGAGTGGTACTGGACCTCCTTTCCAATGTGCTGCCACGGCAGAGAAACTGAAGAGTGGACAACGATTGTTCCGGACGACCCGGAAAACAACGACCCCTACCCGTGGGACTTCTGCCTGGTCTTCATGCAAGGTGTCTACGACGAGCTGAGGGACCTCATCTTGGGGACTTTGATGGAACACCAGCTGAGGGGCTCCACCAAGGGCCTCCAAGACTCTGCTGCTGAGGCCTGGGCAGCAGACCAAACGGTGCAGTTCCTTGAAACAATGGACACGCACCAGGAAAGCGAGCACCTCAAGTGGTTGCTCCGCCACGCGCACCACACCGGGTGCGACGTCCGTCTGACCAACCGGGGTCACAACGTCTTTGGCCACCGACCTGGGCCCTACCCTGCCTTCAAATGGGCTCTGGAAAGATGTGTTGAGCTATTGGTGGAAGGATGAACAGCACATCAACATCCTGGAGCTCACCGCTTTTCTCACGGAGCTCCGACGACGAGCTCGAGACCCAGCCGAACACGGGAGGCGCTACTTCAATGTGGTAGACCCCCTTGTCTGCTTCTACGTGCTGGGAAAAGGAAGGTCGTCATCAAAGCGCCTCAACCGTGTTTGCCGCCGCATAGCCTCAGTCGCCCTCGCATCAGGAATGATCCCAATGACCATGAGGACCATCTCGAAGTGGAACTTCTCCGATGGTGCGTCAAGGAAATTTGAACCGTGACCACCTCCGGTTTGTTGGGATCCTGGATAAGACGAGGCGATCATATGAAAAGGCTGTGGCGGCATTCTTCAAATATCAACGCGCCCTACCGGGCAGGCTTCCGCGCACTTGTGCGGAACTCGATGAGGAGGTGGCCGAACACATTAACCAGGAGGGAGACAGTGTCTCCTTTGCAGGTTGGGCCCTCTCCGGGCTCAAACGGTTTCACCCACGCTGCCGGGGTCAACTCGCTACCTCGCAGCTCTACCTGCGCAATTGGCAGCGGGTGCACCTTCCAAAGAGGACAACGCCGTTGTCTTGGCTTGGCGCCAAAGCAATGGCCTCCGCAGCGGCCCAGGTCGGACGCATAGACCTGGCAGTAATAGTGCTTTTGGGGTTTGCCTTTTTCCTTCGGACCATGGAGCTGCTCTCGCTCGCGGCCACCCATGTCAGGCTCTTCCCCGACCAAGGCACCGTTATTATTGCCATTGTCAACAGCAAGACAGCAAGACCTCAAAAGGCCTCCAACAGTCGTTGTCCTTGCGGGAACCGGAGCTGGTTCAAGTTCTGGCTTTTTTGTGGGACCGGGCATGCCCGAGACTCCTCTACAGCAAAACCCCGCTGACCTTCAGGAGAGAGTTTGCCGCCCTACCAAAGGTCCCAAAGCCTCGGTCAAACTATGATCCAGGGGCGCTGGAAAGACCAAACTACTGCGAGGGTCTACGTGGATGATGCCCGGGCAACCTTGGTTCAACTTTTGCTGCCCTC